TGTTTAGAGAGAGGACTGTACTGTTATTATAAGACTAAAAGTCAAATGAAATAATAAACAAACTAAGTCACAATCCGCAGGTAAAGTATTACTAGCTTTGAATGAGTGTTTTTATTGCTAGGCACTATGCTAAGCTTTGGCTATAGAATAGTGAATAAAACGGACAAAGTTTCCAGATTGAGGAAGGCAGGCAGCAAATGAGTAAACTTATAAACTGTGATAGACACCATTCACTCACACATGTACACATTCAGTAAAATCAGACACCATTCTAGGTACTGGGATGGTGCCTAGGAACCATAAAGAACTTAGATAAGAAAAATTCCTGCTTTCACAGAACATATAATTGTGAGACACTATGAAAATTCTGAGACTGTTATGGTCTGTTATTTCACTTCCAAGAAACACAGTCAACAGTGTCCTTTCTGGGGAGGGGGTGGGGAAGGGGAGGGGAGAAGGGCGGCTGGGAGGTGGGAGGGTGACCGGAAAGATCACCTATATATCTGTCTAACAAGGGTACAAGTGAACTTTTCTAGAACTAGAATATAAATGTTTTGACACAATGACTATGCAAATGACATGAAATTTATGTGAACCAGCTTGATGAAAGTATTTCAAATTGTATATGAAAACACTACACTATACCCCATGTTTGCATTAATGTATAAAGCTATCATTTAATAAAACAAACAAACAAACAAAAAAACAGTGTCCTTTCTGATTTACCCATGCAACAAGTTTCAACACGAGAGGGTTTCATTTCTTTCCATCCTCATGGATTTTATGTTTCTTGATTTTTATGTATCTGGAAACTTTCATAATGACTCACATATTCTATAGGGACAGATAATATGACAGAATGAGACCCTGTCTTTGTAGTAAAAAAAAAAAGCAATAAATATGGAAGAGAAAAAAATAAAGGGAGAGGTATAAGACAAGTGTGAATGTGGGAGGTTGAAATTTAAGAACATGTGCAAGGGCACCATTAAAATCAAGATGTGAAGGAACTAAGTGACCCGTGTGGATCTTACCTAGGGAAACAGCATTCCAGACAGAAACAACATAAGTGCACAGACCCCAGGAGGAAGGAGGACTGGAGGGGTGTGTGTGTGTGTGTGTGTGTGTGTGGAGGGGTGGGGGTGGGGGGATAGTGGAGGGAGTGGGGGCAGGAGTCAAATCAGAGGGATGCCAAGGTTGGCCAACTTGCTCAGGGCCTAAGGAGGTCAAGAGTTTGCTTTTACCCTGAAAAAGAGGGAACCCAGTAGACTGGGCTTTAACAGGATCACTCTGGCTACTATGTAAACAGACTGAATGAAACAAAGGTGGAAGCAGAGTGACAGAAGTTAACTACAATCATCTGGGTAAGAGATGATGGTGGCTTGGATTAGGGTAGCAGAGATGAAGAAGAGGAGAAAGAGAATTCTGACATGTTTTTAAAGTAAAGGATTTGTTGATCACTTTGATACAAAGTATAAGAGAGAAAAGGGAAAAAAACCCTGGATTTGGTGATAATGAGCAAAGGGCCCAATTTAGAAAAGGTGGTCACAAGAAAGGTCTGAGGCAACATTTTAGCTAGACCTTGAAGAATAAGGAACTCACCCTGTAAGGGCCAGGAAAGAATCTGGAATATTCTCTACAACTTTACAAGGAGCATGAGGAGCAAGGGGGAGACATGAAGTAGGAGAAGCTGGTAGAGATCAAGCCATAAAGGATTTTATAGGCTACAGCAGAGAAATCTAGAATTTTATTCTTTGGAGGTACAATGGAAAGTAATTTTAGTTAATAATAAAAGTATTTATTATGAAACAGGGAGCCTCACTACATATGATTTTTCAACTTAATTTTTAGAGACTGACAAATTTTAATGTCTATTGACAGTAAAACAATCTAGAGTAAGTGGCAACAACTTTTGTTACCTGGTAACCTCTGTTCAAGTGCATAATTAGTATTTTACTAGATTAGTAGAAACAAAGCAGCAAACTTTTTTTTTTTCATGAGCTCTTTTCTTTTTGAGACAGGGCCTCAAGCTGTCCCCCTGGGTAGAGTGCTGTGGCATTACAGCTCACAGCAACCTCCAAC